ATAACTAGTGTTTTTAGCACAACCATGGCACTCTAGATTGAAATTTAAAATATGATTTTTTTTAAAGCGAAAATGTCAAAAGTTGGCATATGATATGTCATTCTCGAGATCGTTTTATATTTATTACTCTATCGAATAAAGTAAAAATATACTGAGGATGCCATTTAAAAATCAAAAGTTGTCATGATTACCGGTGGTGAAACAGGAAGTGACTGAAAACAATTGAATACGTCAATTAATTCTAATTTAGGTCATATACTAACATATCAAATCCCGTTTTTTTTTATCTAAAAAAAATAAAAAATATATAGGGTTGAGCCACTTTTAAGACGCATCCGGTATAAACGCAAAGATAAATCTTGTTTCTATATTTTTTTTCGATATACAGATGATCTTAGATATATCGCATCGTTTACATCAATGTTGTCGCATCCACATGTAAAAATTGGAATTCATCTTATTGATTTGGTTTGGTTGTACCATGAATTGCGAAGAGTACATACTTACTCCTAATGAATTTCATGCATACATTTTGTGGAGCTGATTTATTTTATTCTTTTAATTTTTCACTTTATTATCAATTTACGGTATTAAATAAGCTATGACTAAAATAACGCTAAATCCGATGAGCCATGGATTCTTCTGCTCCTCCTAGTGTAAAACTTAAGGAAGGTTTTTCCGGATATATAAATTTTCCAAATTGACAAAATTGTCAAGGAAAACCAAAGACTGGGTCTAAAAATTAAAATCAGAAAAACTAAGTTTATGGCTTTTAGTAGTAACAACATTCCGAACTTCCAATTCACATAAATGGAGAGGATATCTAACAAGTCACACAGGTTAAATTCCTCGAATGCGTGATTAACAAAATATGGGATCCAGATCAGGAGATGAAATATGGAATCTAACAGGCTAGAAAAACTTTCCCAACACTTCAAGATAGGAACTTGAATTTCGGCCTTAGGTACAATATAGTGAAGATCATTCTGTTAGATGGCGTGGAAGTATGGACATTGGAAGGACCAGGTATAAATAGAATTGAATCCATCGAAATGTGGAACCTACGACGAATACTGAAAGTGACCTGAAGTGTGAAATGAAGATATTCTTAGAAGAGCTGAAAAATATTCTGTTAGCGACATATTATATTCGGTGGAGAATGCTATCACTTTCAGCGTCTAATTCTCCAGGATTAAATAGAAGGAGGTAAAAGGGGATTATCCAGTTTGAAAAATATTTGTCATTGGACATGCATAAAGGACTTCCAAGCACTTTAAGTCTCTGGAACTAATAGAACAATCTGATGAGAATGAAAAAGATGAACGCCTACGTAGGGATCTACACTTAAGAAGAAGAAGAAGTGTTTCCAATATTTTTAAATCTTCCACAACGCAATACAACTGATTCGATTTCTGTAGATATAAGTACTTATGTGTATATTTTATATAAGACTTTTGTGTCAGTGAACTTTGGAACCAACAAACCAAGGTACTTGGAACTAGGAACACACAAGAACAGGCCCAGACAAAGTCGTCAAAGAGTCAACTGAACAACAAGACCGCCTTGTGTGCCCAATTTCTAGAATAAATCCCAATGTTTGTCATCCTGAACTACAAAGACAACTTCTGGCAGCTACAGGTGTGAACGTTTCAGTTGAAACCATAAGAAAAAGGCTTCGTGCTCGAAGGTTCTACAGCAGGAGAGAGTTACGGGTCTCAAAGTTATCTCGGCAAAATCAAATTGACCAACTAAATCAGTGCCTTCAACATCAAACAACAGAGACAACTGGGAATTGGCAAAAAATTTTCGGAATTACTAGAATTGGCCCAAGATCAGATGACCATTGAATTCGGGTTCTTAGAGCTCCACGAAGACGAGCGAGTCTTCAAGCTGCCAATTCTGTGCCAAGATATAACGGAGGAACTGTAATGTTCTGGGGAGGTATTATGCTGGGAACAAAACTCCATTGTTACCACTTCAGCAAACTTTAACGGGTCGGAGGTATGTTGATTTAATGCTACAATCTATCGTTAGTCTTTGGAGATGCAATTGGGGGTAATTTTAACTTCATGCACGATAGTTTACCTTCCCATACCAGCAGAGTGACTAGAGAATGTCTTGAAACGGAAGTTTTGGACTGGCCTGCATGTTCACATTGTTCACCAGACCTAAACCCTAGCGAACACTTGTGGGGCCAGCTCAAAAGAAGGGTTAAAAATCGTCGAAACAATCCAGGAAATCTCTTACAGATTATTGATGCAGCATTAGCAGGATGGAAAAGATACCCCAAGACAACGTTGATAATTTAATAAGAAGCATGCCAGCGCGGATAGAAGCTTGCATAAGGGCTAGAGGTTGCAACAAAGATAATTAAAATTATCAATTTTCTTGCTTTTTGACCATTAAAAATTTTGATCTCATTTCGTTTCAGAACCCAAAAAAATACAATTGTGTTTATTTTGGGAACTAATTTTTTTATTGCTATATGGATTATTTTTCATTAAAAGTCATTGGTAAGGACTGAGTTTTATTCATAAACACAAAATATTCATACGTCTCAAAAATTATGAAAAATAATAGATGATTTTCCATACAAGTTTGGTTGTGTGTAGATCAAACTACCAAACTATATGAAATAATGATTTAAAGTAAATTTATTATACAGAAAATGAATTCCTACTATCACACAGAGATTCACATGCAAATAAAACAATAAAATTATTTGGAGAATTAATCAGATATATCACAAAGGCGTCAAACTGAACGTATATCTTTTCTCGATCGAAAGTAAGTTTAAGATAATGTTAATTTAAATAATTGTCTCATTTAAGTGTGGTCGGGGTCGATGACCGACAAGTGTCGTTGCGTGTTGTATATAAACGCCATAGGAAAAAATATCATTTAATTTGGTGAAAGATTGAATTCGAGAGATAACGCTGGTGTGGTGTCCTCGTTAAACTTGGAGGTTTTCGTAATGAACTTGGAATAATTTTATAATCGGTTTTTATTATGTACTTGATACAATGGTGTTAGATATAAATACAGTATAAACAGATATATTGTTCAAAGGACAAGTTTAAAACAATCAATACTTAAGAATGAATGTTCTTTTCAAATTACGGAAAAATTGGAGATGAGTCGTAAACAAGTGCAAATGTTTTCACGGTTGGTAGATCTTAATAAAAGAAACATATTTTCTCTTTGCCCTTTTTCAAATAAGTTCAAAATAACCGAGTTATTCAAGTTTGAAAATAAAAAAAATGATATATCTTTAAAAAAATTGAGAGCCACCCGATTTTTCCTCTATTTCCATCCCTTTTACTGCAGTAACCATGGTAACATCAGAGATTAATAAATTATACCCTGGAGAGAGAAAAATTTGCGTTGAGCAGACAGTTCTAAAAAGTTTTCTAAAATATACAGGAAAATTAAAAGAAAATGCACAATTTCCAACATTTTTTGCGAAAAAAAAAACTCATAGACGTGTTCCTGGGGTCGAAATATACCACCCCTGAAAATATTTGCACTTATTTTAGACTCACCCTGTATATACGAGGTGTAAACATGTGCTATATGTCTTGAGGAGATTCCTCACGTAAAAATAAGATTTATTTTTTATATCAATATAGCTTCTGCTTTGTTTCGTATTCGTAGCTACAAGGGGTTAAAGTCTACTTTTTTTTCGATTTATTATAATCTTCTTCCAAGTGCTTTTACCTCCGCTTTTACTGATTCGAATGAAATTTCGAGATTAATACTGATACTAAAGTGCTACATATATTATTGCCAAAAAATGGTCAAATGTCTGTTTATACAGGGTACGTCTTAAATAAGTGGGAATATTTTCAGGGCTGGTAGATCTCGATAAAAGAAACATTTTTTTGCCGTTTTTGAGTCCAAAATAATCGTGATATTTTATTTTGAAAATGTAAAAAAATGATTTTTTGGTTAAATTTTTAGAAACTGGATCTTTCCTGGATTTTCTTTCTTGTAAATTTAATCTATTATCTATGTTACCATATTATGATGATATTTTGATTTTTAACTAAAAATTTAAAAAAATTCCAATTTTTTTTTAAATTCCAAATTTTCTGTTCAAAAAAATGTTCAATGTAAAACCCGTATAGACACCACTTGTTTAAATAAACAAAATTGTTTTTACATAAAAAAAAACATAATATAAACATAAGTTATGATGAAAGATGGGACGAATACTTTGCTAAACTGTTGACCGAAGAAAGGGCCGAATATCAACAAACATTTCAGCCACAATCCGACATTCAAATAAGAACCGCAGCTCCACTGAGGATCAATACCAAAGAAGTAAAACAAATTTGCCAAACCCTGAAAAATAGAAAATCGCCTGGTCCAGGTGAAATTCCTCCAGAATTACTCAAGTACGGCACGGATAAATTATATAAGCAACTCGCTAGTCTTTTCCAAAAGTGTCTTAATGGTGAAAATATACCGAAAGAATGGAAGACATCATATATAACAACAATACACAAGAAAGGAAGTAATGACGATTGCGATAACTATCGAGGAATCTCCGTGCTGAGCTCTGTTTCAAGGGTCTATGGAAAATTGGTCAAAAAGAGAATTGAGGAAGAATACCGGGATATGGAGGCTGAAGAACAAGCGGGATTTAGAGCTGGTAGATCCACGGTCGACCATTTATTTACACTAACACAGATAATTGAGAAAAAGATGGCAAGAAATCAAGAAATACATCTCCTCTACGTAGACCTCAAGAAAGCATATGATGTGTACCCCAGTCTAAATTGCGGGAAGCCCTCGAGAAAACGAATATCAGCATAACATTAATTAAGGCTGTCCAAGAACTTTATAAGAACAACATTAGCCAAGTAAAGAAAGGAAAAACAATATCAAAGGGATTCAGCATAAACAAAGGTCTTAAACAGGGCTGCTGTCTATCGCCCACACTGTTTAAAATCTATTTGGAACAAGCTCTGAAAACGTGGAAAAGGAAGTGTGAACAGATGGGGATACTATTAAACGACTCGATACTTTACACTCTTTGTTTCGCTGATGATCAAATAATACTAGCTCAAGACTACGAGGATCTGGAATATATGACCCGCAAACTAATTGAAAAGTATAACAAGTGGGGGCTGGAGGTAAACCTTAAGAAGACGGAATATATGTGTATCGGCGGCGAACAACAGAACATAATCCTAGAACAGCAACAGCAAGAAATAAAACACTGCCAAAAATATAAATACCTTGGCATGCACATTACCACCCTTGGTAGCCTTGATGAGGAAATTAAGTTCAGAAACAACCAGGGTAGACAAGCAATTAGACAACTCAACAGTATTTTATGGGATAAGGCGGTATCAACACAAAATTTATAACAGCATAATTAAAAGCATTATTAGTTATGGTAGTAAAGTATGGCCTTTGAAAGAAAAGAACCTTAAGTTACTCGAAGCTATAGAAATGGACTTTTGGAGGCGCGCGGCCGGGAAATCGAAACTGTGGATAGAGTAAGAAATGAAAAAAATCAGAACATCATGGGCGTTAAGCACAGAATAACAGAAGACATCAAAATTAACCAACTCAGGTGGTACGGGCACGTACAAAGAATGGAAGAGAGCAAAATCGCAAAGAAAATACTCAATTGGACACCACATGGCAAAAGAAACAGAGGGAGACTTGGACGGAGTTGGAGAGAAGGAATAGACAGGGGACATCAGAACAAGAGGAATAGACGAAAACCTCTGGACAGACAGAAGAGACCAATGGAGACTGGAGATCAGAAGACGTCGAAGAACGTTATAACTGATTTGTATATATATATATATATATATATATATATATATATATATATATATATATATATATATATATATATATATATATGATGAAAAGATTTTTAGAAAATTTTACCACCCTGTATCTCAAAAGTTAACACGTTGAGAACATAATATATTCATACGAAGTTTTTTACTAAAAAGAGGTCAAATAAAGTGTTAAGCATATAATATTTTATTAGCATTTTATTCGTAAACTTGAAACAACGTCACATTGATCTTGGAACAATATCCTATGTAATTAACATGATATAACGAACCGGAAACTAAAATATACATTTTATTTATATCAGACGCGTAATTTTTCAGTTATCTCCGATGTGAACGACCTGAGAAATGATTTGTTGTTTTTTAATTTCATTGCAAGAGTATGCTTATTACATTTACATTTTCGATGAATGAACATTAATAAAACATTATTTTTAACTCAGAGTCGTTTGACATTAGCCTTGCCTAGCCTCGCGGGTCATTTAGGGTTTATTTCCTTTATGTTATTAGTTGCATTTGATTTAGGTTTTCTTGGTTATTTAGGTTCTGCTTGTTTTAGATAAAGTAGTAGCAGTAGGATAGAGTATTTAACTTTAACGTCTCCACATTTTGCTATCCAAAAGTCCTATGGGTATTTCGCCACTGTAAAAGTTAGTTTTTTTTATAAACACTGCTGCGTTGATCCAACGGAGACTAATTGTTAGCAGTAGTTTACTAATAAACAAATTTGCCTAACGGACAGAAAAATGCTTAACGTTTCGGGAAGTATATCTCTTCCAGTAGTCGAAGCTGTTAAAATTACGTTATATCAAGTTAAACTTCAAAATTAACAAATACTGCCTGATAACAGTTACTTAATAAGGCAAAACCAAAAAGCTGCAAACTTTCTGTATGACTATTTTTAATTTGTTTTTAATTTTTACGTATGTTATGTTTATTTATGTTGTGTTCTTTAAAATCAAAGAAGCGATTGCCATACAGATGCATGAGCAATACATTTATTTTTAACTGATTGTATTAAAAAAGGCCTCTTTTATTTATTTTTCTTTTAGAGGCTATTGCTTCTTTCATTATAATTTTTGCGTTGTAAAGTCTACTCTGTGCCCTGAGCATGAATGCTGACAAATCTTAGATCGTCCTTTCTTAAATAATCTTTATGTTCTTTAATTCGAAAATTTAAGGGTCTAAATATTAAATTAACTCAGTGTTCATTGGATTAGTGTGTGTTAAAATGGATCTAAGTGTGTTTTGTGTTTTGAACGTTGTTCGTATGTTATAGTTTTCCTATCCTTCTTATTTTTTCCGAAACGCCTTGTATGTATGGAATAATTGTATTATTGTATTTGTATATTTTTTTATAAAAGAGGTTTTTTTTAATACAATCTAATTAAATTAATTGTATTGCTCGTGCATCTGTAGAGCTTAGCTCATGGATATGCATGACAATCGCTTCTTTGATTTTAATTTTTATTTAAATAATCAAAATCTCCTTTCCTCAAATTTCAAACAACATAATTATAATATTTTGCAGTTTACATAGAATCAATTTATCGTTTTATATTCTCTGGACAGTTATTCAAAAACCTTTTTTGTACAAAATGAATGCCATCGCTTCCAATGTTCTGATTCGAGAGGATTTTCGTGCTCCTAATTGGCACAATTGCCAGTGCCCATCTGTAGAATGACAATTGTAAGACCGCCTTTTTTTTACTCACACATTGACGTTAGTTTCGCATAAATTAAGTGACCCCTCTATGAGTAGAGACATCAGTAGCTTTGATGTCA